CAGATTGAATAATACCCATTGAAAATGCCAGGGGGTTTGCAGTCCAACGTCAGATTTCGTAGCACACTATCAAATACCTGTATACAGGGCAAATGACACAAGCCCACAACATCTATGTATGTACACTGTGGCTAGCTGCTACAACAGACGCAGAGTGCTGCTGATAACGTGTATAAATAAAATGGATATTCAGAGGATACTTGGCAACCGCTACATGTATCATTGTGAGAGGTCAGGAGAAGGACAGGCACTGACAAACAAACAGTACAGGGTGTGGCGTGAACACAACCTACAATGTATATGTACAGTACTTCCTGCTCCGACACCATAAAAAGTATATTGTAGATTATGATTCATTGCAACATACATCGCGAATCTCAAAACATAAATTTACAACATAACGAGTGAATACCGAGGCAGATATGCGAACATTTTAAATATTACTGTTAGGTGTTATTTATTATAATTATACATTCCCTCACTGGACTATATAAAATATAAAACACAACACTCCCAATGGGAATATGTCAATGCACTACATGTATTTATGTTTTTAATTTATTCATTACTATTTTTTCCTTGATATTTTAAAGTCATGAAGAATGCTGACAATTAATGTTGTGTGTCATCCATGTCACATTTTTAGATGATTATACACATGGTTGGCTGAGGTATTTATGAGCCAGGACACATGGTGCAAATACATTGAAATTAGTGAATGGGGATATCACACATGCCTCACCACCATTAGAAATGTTTAATTCACCCAGATCAAAATTACTGTGTTTGCTCTACTAGAAGCATATCTTCAATAGAAGCACATGTAAATTAAAAATCCATTTGTTGTATATTGAAACAATTGAATCATTAAACTATTACTTATGTTTACCATGATAAAAACAACTCAGTAATTTACCTAAGCATTACAAATAATGCAGTATTGATGAAATACCATGCCAAACATAAATTGATCAGTATCGTTTTGGAATTGTTGACAACGACAAATGTAACAGGAAATTACCAAGTACATATGTTTCTGTAGAAGAATGGTTTCCTTGTTACCGTGGCCAATTCAAATACCTTGAGGAAACCACCTTGGACCTGCGCATTTCACAGTTTACCAGCCCTAGCTGTAAGCACATGTAAGCAGTGGCATGTGTGAAATACTGCAGCTACCTGCAGGACTGTTACTGCGTTGTTGTAGAGGTCAGATGACTTTATTCCCCTCACAATTTGCTTGTTTTAAAACCCTAATTCAACATCACCACCCTCAATGTCCATAATTCTTTCTCCTATTTACTCATGGTAGAACACATAATCCTCAACCCTTAACATTACAACAGCTGTGATGAAGCTAAATGGATACCAAGGACTGTTTCAAAGTGAATAAATCAACACACATGAACTGTTCCTTATTGATGACACTGACAATTACTTCTGGCAAGTTTTAGCTTCAGGCACAATATAGATCATGGATACAGACAGCTGTATTCAATTATTGCGAAAACCAACCGTAACAATTCAATATTTGTAGCCTTTGGGTGTTTCATTTTGCCTCAAAGCATCCAGAAAAAAAATCCACTACAGACAAACGTGCCAATTAGCACTAAATTACACGCCTGATAAACATATTTTGTTTAACCCGTTAAAACTAGACGTATCGCTCACCAAATTTTTTTTAAATGTTGCACCAAGACCTAAACTCAATGGGAAATTATAGAAAAATAAATAAAAATGCCTGTAATTTTGCATCAAGTTTATCGCATTCTGAGGATTCTAAATTATACGGCAAATATGCGGATGTTTTGGATAGGTCCACCAAACAAAAGAATCATGACCCACAGGAATTCAGGATGTAACTTGTAAGTGTGTTTCTGGGTAGATGTGTGTATGTGCCATTTATTAAAATAAAACTATGTTAATAATCTTCCCATCATCAAACTGGCAAGCATTAAAAATTAATACAATATCAAAACACAATGAATATAAATAGAAAATGAAAATGACAGCAAAAATGAATGAATCTGTTCTTGTGTACTTTTATTTTTGACTGCGTTTATGAAGGGGATCTCAGTTGAAATAACCCAGCCATACTCTAATTTGTTTGTTGATAAAAACAGTGGGTATATTTAGTGGGAATTAATTATTCATGACATCAATGTCAACTAGTCCAATCAGAATAATAAAAACCATTAGGTGATGAGCAAATTTACATAACACTATAAATCATTTGCATAATATTCAATCAGATATTTTTAACGCAACTGTTCTGGTGCGAAGGTGAGAGCAAGACTGTCCTTTCATCGAGCACCCTTAACGAAAGGTACTGCTTTCTACGTTCTAGCAAGTAGACAACAGAAGATGAAACGACTTGAAATAATTCATTAACTGAAGCTTTTCCCAGAATTCTCATTGTATTATATCCGCCACAATAGATTCATTACAATATACACGATATCAGTCAATGACCTTTTTACAGCGTACATGTAGCTATTAATGTACCCATGATCTCATCCGTCTGCATTGTTGATATTCATATTTATTGGAATAGTATGATCATATTGGCAGGTTTTCCTGGAGATACGATGTCATGACGATATTTAAATCTATATGTATTGAGTTATTTTTGTTGCTATACGCAGCAGCTAGCATTGATGCATTCCAAGATGTTATCCCACCCAGGAATTGTTGTTGTTGGAAACTCTGGTTTGTGAATAAAGTAATAGAGGTAAATATTGCCTTGGTTCATTACAGAATAGAACCCTGGCTTGACAGGAATAGTTTGGAGTTCACTTGTTGCCACGTTAGGAAGTGTGTACCAGGACAGAAAAGGGAGAGGTGATTTTATAACCAGTCGTTCAAAAAGTTGCCTCAGTTTTTCACAAGTTGAATAGACATAAGGGCATGTTGCTTTTAAAAAATATCTTACTAAAATAAGTATGAATGTTATAAATTAGATTTCGCCCAACTTCATTGTTCATATTTTCAATAAATTTATGAACATTTCATGAACTTTCAAAAAGATAATATTAACACCTACGTGTACAATATGAATCAACATGTTTGGTATAAAAAGTGAAACTGGTTTTTTACACATGTACTATTGTAAAATACCTAGTACAGAATTTAAATTAAGTTTAGGAATAAAATAGCAAACATACTTTATGTTATACGACCTGCATATAAAAGATCATGCTTGTATTAAATTACAATATTTCAATGTAGCCCATAGAAAGGTACAATGTAACTGATATCATCAATTCAAAGAAATTCTATCAATTTATAAATGGCCCAATGTGAAATTGCTTTAATTGGTAACAATTATATAATTAACATTACATGTACTGCAATGCGAAAACAAAATTAAAAGACAGGAAAAATAAATTTTGAATTTTATCGTGTGTTGCATTTTTTGGTAGGTGGGGGGTGGGGGGGTGGGGGCGGGGGGTGGGGGTGGGGTGTATCAGTCCAGATAAAATTGATACTAGTATTACGTAAGTGTGACAGTGAGATAACCAAATACTTGTATGTCAGTCTAAGTAGTGTTAACAAAATGTAGTCAAGTTATTATTAACGCCAGTATGATATCTGTAATCTATGACTGTCACAATATATGACTTTCAGATAAAGCAAAAGATAATAGCAGCTTTACTGAGACAATTAATTCTAGAGAAAATATCAAAACCGTACTGAGTATGTATGTCTGAAAACGTCAATTGTCTTCGTGCACAAATTACAATTCGTAATCATCTTGACATCAATGGTCAGAAAGTTCTATAAATAGCCTTCAAGGCCACCTTCATATAATAAATCCCTGTGTTGTTAAAAGCTATGGACATTCAAGTTATCATTTGCTGGGTGGTTTAATAATTCCTTTTTATGGATTCAGTTCACTGCATACCATTCTCAAATAAAGCATATGGCTTCTGATTCTGACGTCTGCGAAATCATACGTATCTTGCTATCAAATAATACTTCTATTTTAATGAATCAAAACAAAATATAGAAATGACTGTGAAAACTTTAATTTCACATAGAATTTTTTTTTACAGATTTCACTGGGATCCTTAAATAGAAGCAGTCAATCTCAGGGATTTCACCATCGGAATATCCAGGGATCATTGTTCATGCTCTATTTTTGTTTTTAGTTGTTAATTTAACCTAGTGAGTAAATTTTAGCAAAAAAACATGCACAATACAATGGTATGGCATGGCACTATACCAGTAATGATCTGTTCTTCCTCTGAGATTAAGAGTTGTTATATATAATAATCAAAACTTCCTAAATATTTTATTAACGTTCTTATTTATTTATCTCCTTATTTATTTACGGTCTTAGGTGAATGACTTCCTCTATATTCTGTATTGGGAGGTAACCTTTAATGTGTGTTGTATTGTTTTAGAAAACAAAACGACGTGGGTTTTTTTGTGTTTCCTGGATATTTACTAGCTTCCCAAACCCAAACAATTACAACAATGACACGCGACAGTCTGTCCTTACCCGCCCGACCTTTAAAATGTCATCAGTCAATTTCAGTAGGTACAATAGTTGAAATGTTGGGAAGGGTGAGTAGTATTCAATAATTGGTAGACTTTATGGAAGATCCAGTAAATTTTATGATGAGCAAAATATATAGAGAGTGCTACTACTGCCGTCTGTACCGGTTAGATCTAACAATGACACCACGACCAACCACGGAACCAGCTGATTTCAACGACAGTAATAGGGGCCGGGGGAATTTTACGTGCTGTTCTCGGTGTGTTATTATGAATATAAATCGTCCTCGGAACACAATATCAACTCTACGAGATGCATACTACACTTGGCACGATGCGCACAGAGATATCGGGAATTGGACACCCGCAATGTGGTGATACTGGTCAATGTGATGTTATTCTAAACCAAACGATAGAATGACTGCGAGTCCGAGGAGGGGCCTCAAAACATTCTAGAAAACAAGCAAACATACTGTAGGATCTGTTGAATAACCTATACTCACGTTCTTTGTCGTGGTCATATCCCACAATAACGAAGTAGTCTGCCAGGCGGGACATCTTAATACCGTATATTTCCACAGGACATTTTCTAACGAGTTTCAATTCCTACATTTTACACGGCCGCCATTTTGGATTCCAGGATATCCTCAACTGCGCAGTGTTGTGCGCATATCCCGACCTGCTTCACGCCTCAAAAACTTTTCCCATACTTGATAATTGTATTTGTTGACTACATAAGTCTGATGTAAGCAGCATTGAGACAATAACACAGTATTTTATTATATATTCACGGAAATGAGCCTTTTCGAGGATTACATCCACCAGTTAGCAAATGCCTTTAGACGACGTGACGCATTCTTTGAGCCGCCCCACAGAGCGAGCTGACAACAATGCTCGGTCGCGTTAGTACTACTGAGACTAGCGGACAAAGCAATATTGAAGAACGATAGAGATTCACGTAGCAGCGTTTTGCAGAGGTATGTCGTACTTCATATTTTAGTGATACCTCGCGAATATTTACCAAGATCAACTCAATATGTTAAAAAAACGATATTTTAAAAATAAAATAAAATAGTCTAGTTTTTGTTTTGTTTTCATATACTATGTTTGTATTCATTTTACATCTCTGTTTGAATTGAATTAACTGTATTTTAATATAGCGTAATAAAGGTATTATTTTTAATTATTTGTTGGTATGATATATGTCCTCGCATGTATTTCAATATTTTGTTCCCACCCGGATATAATGACGCTTCTTTTATTTCCCCGTATAGATGTATACGTAATAGTTTCTATAAAACCGGATTTCAAAGAGGTCACACATGCCATAAAAGTACACTCTTCACTCTATCATAATGCATCAGATGTATCCACAACATTGAAGATATAAATAACAACAAATTCACAATTGTATCAACTTACATCATATCTATATAGCTAACATGTAAAGAAGATACAAATCCACTTTTACAAATTTAATATTTATATTGACGTT